CGGTGTAGGGGATGCGGGGCGTTGAGAAGCCAGATGGCGGGCTGGTCGTAGCCTAGCGTGGTGGTGTTGGTGCATGAGGCGAGAGGCGCGGTGGTGTGTGGCATGGAGAATTCGAGGAGGGAAGATCTTGGAGGCGCCGGCGAAACCCTCTGTTTTGGGGGGGTTAGTGGTTAAACAGGACTTGTTGGAGGGGGAAGGAACATAAAGAGGTGGGAAGGGAAAACTTACTGTAGGCTACCGAGCCGTTCTGGATGTATCCGCATGAGCCGTCGCAGGGTTCGTCGGTGAAGAGAGAAACTTCTTGTGAGGAGACGAGGGTGGTGTCTTTGAGGATGGTTGCGTTTGGGGAGCCGCCAGTGCCGTCTGCGTTGACGTACGAAAGGGTATTGCCAAAGGTTCTGTGGATTATTAGTTCGGACGCGTTTAATGGGGATTAAAGTCTGCTTACGGCGTCCATTTACCGGATCCCTGACCGCCGTAGTTACCGAGAAACATTACACCCTCTGCCTTTTGCTGCTCCGCGTTGTAGTAACCGGTGCGGACGAATTTATGAGCCTTGTTAGCCGCACCGGGGCTGCTGGACGGGATGGGGGAGGAGACAGAACTTGAGCCGTAGATAGGAACGACGCTGTATGACCTAGTGGTGGAGACAGAACCGGTGCTGTGAGTGGTGTCGGAAATAGAGCTGCTGCTGGGTGTAGAGCTGAAACCGGAGCTCGAACTAGATGTGAGACTGGTCGATGACGGTGAAAAAGCCGTCGTCTTTGAACAGCGTCGGCGGCTTGAGAGGGCGCTGCTCGAAATGATAGTGCCAAAGCTGACCGTGTTTGAAGACCGCCCAGAGGTTCCAACCCCGGTCCCCGAGGCACTCGAATTGGTATTGGACAGGGTGCTGGAGCTCGACATGGTAATGGCCATCGGTGTCGTCGACACAGCCGCGCCCGAGCTACCCGAACCACTTGATATGGTGCTCGTGGGGGAGCTCATGCTGGAGACAACAGTGGTCATCGAGGGAGTAGACATCCCAATACTCCCGCTGCAGGCCCCGACCAGGGAGGTACCGGTAACATAGCTGGTGACAGTCACCGTCACTGTCACTGAACCCGCCGTTCCGGTATTAGTACCAGCGGCAGTATTGTCCAACGTCTGGGTAACTTCAACTGTTTCGACGGTCGTGACAGATGTCATTATGGTTTCTATGTTTCTTTCAGTGACCGAGTCGGGTGTCGGTGTCAGAGGCAACTTCCAGTTCTCAAGCCGGGAGCTGCTCCCAGTGGTGATCGAGACAAACACCCCGCTGTGGTTACTGTGCGTGTGATGCCTGTGATCGTTGATAGGCGGTATCCAATGTGTTCCGTTGCTGAACCCTTTCGTAAATGCGTTGTAGGAACGTTCGAGGTGTGGAGCGCTGTGCTGGTGACCGACGTTGGGTGTTCTGGCTTTGATACCCATAGTATCTGTAGCTGGCTTGCCCTGGGCCTTTGTTACGTTGTCACGGGTTGCAGGCATGTACACGGCAACCTGCTTCAAGTTGAGTGGCCCTCGGAAGTGGAGAGACAACTATCGCTGGTTAGCCCCTTTTTTCGATCAAAGATCATACATGACCTACCGGTTCGTCGAACGGCGCTAGCGGCCCTGAAAACCTGGCGGGCATAAACTTGCACTCCCCAGTCTCCTGGTTCATGTAGACAACTTGGTTATACGAACCTTCCCTGTCCATATTCTCGTATGAGATGCGTTGAACTTTCTGGCAGTACCAATTCCCACTTTCTGCGACTTCCTTTCCCTCGCACAGTTGCTTGGATTGGGAATAGCCAGGGGGCGCGACGGCGGCGTGTACTGCAAAAGCCATGGCCAACATGGCCGTGGCGATCTTTGTTTTCATCGTTGTCGGTAGGTTGATATCGTGTTGGTTATACGCAGGGGAGAGGTAGCCTTGTGTCTTGCTTCCCGCATGGCTAGGGAGTTTTTGCAACGAAGGAGATATCCCTGTTTAGGCAGGGACCACGGGAGCACTTATATATCCAGCGGCACCATAGTACGAGAATGTGTCAGGAGTCTGGTACAGCCAACTGACTGTATCACATTGTTACCGAGTCCAGACGGAGATGTATGAGAGCGAATGACCACGGCACAACACGTGCCCTGGGCTCTGCAAAGTGTATATGAAGATTATATTGCCTGATATGAATAAAAGAGTTGGCATAATGGTAGGTGCCCCGGGAAAGTCCACAAACTATTGTGTACGTGCTAGCTGACAGCCTTGATGGTGTTGGTAGTGGAAAACATCATTGGCATGCACATGCCCTAGGAATCGACGAGTGAGTCAAACGTTATTTAGTAGCCTCGGGGCACATAAATGTGTGTGACAACTGTGTTTACGCTGTGCCTATCTCGAACTACTTGATGTCGTCTGTGGGGGTTGTGATGTGGCCTCTCGAAACAAAGGAACCTGGGTACGTACGTAATGCCAACTCCACATGACCGCCGAAGACTAACACGAGCTGAGATGAAGTAAGAACTTGAGCGTCTATGTCCACCCAAAAGCTAAATAATACAGCCCATACTTGGCAACTAACATACACCAAGACTAGGACTGGGTATTGCTACAACATATTTACGTCCGCCTCTCTTTATTACTCTCTCCCCTCTTTCCTCTTCCCCCTCCCCTCCCACCTCTGTGTTCTCCTTCCCTTTTCGATTTCGGAACCCTCTCCCTCCCCCTCATCCTCCTCCTCCTCAACTCCCTCACCCTTATCCCCATCATCCCCATCATCGTCATCATCCACAACCGCCGGCGCCCTCGCCTTCCGTTTCCTCCCTCCCTTCGGCCCTGGCCCCGGCGGCGGCGCAACCGGCATCTCGACAACATCCCCCAACCCCGACCCACCGCTACCCCCCGTCCTCGCCCTCAACCGGCTCACCGCATCCGCCATCCTCTTACTGCCCCCGCCCCCCCTCTGCCGCTGCGCAAACGCGTCCCTCGCACCCACCCCAACACCCATGCTAAAAAACCGCGTGATATTGCTCTGCGTCCCCTCCACATCCCGCTTATTCATATCGCGAATCACCGGCACGAGCACCTCGTCGGTGCGCTCCTGGCCCCAGCCGATGGTATTCATCAGGAACTGGCGCAGGCCGTCCAGGTCCGGGACGCCCCACTGGAACGGCTCGGTGTTGCTGTCGACGTCGGGGTGGAGGTAGGCGTCGGCGACGGCCGGGTTGGGGAACCCCGGGGGGAGGAAGAGCTTGGTGGCGTGGGCCTTGCGGAACTTGCGGCGGAAGGGGAAGGCGGCGTCGGCGTCCTTGGGGCGGCCGCGGTTCTGGATGTCCTGCCACCAGTCGCGGAATTCGGAGAGGCCGTTCTTGCCTGGGAACTCGGAGAGGATTTCCAGGGCGGTGACCGGGCCGACGCCGGGCAGCCCTTTCGGTGTAGTCGGAGCCGAGGAGGTGGGCGAGGGAGATGAGCTGCTCGCGGGAGAGGGAGAGCTCGGTTTCGAGGTCCTTGGCGAGGTAGCATTCGACGTACTTGTTGCCGGCGAACATGTTCTTGTAGACGCGCGTGCCGCCAAAGAGAAAGGTGTCCGAGTCGTCGGTTACGATGCCGTCGACGAGATTAAGGTGGACGAGCTCAGCACATTGCGCTTCGGCTTCCATGGGTGCGGTGATGTACGGGATGCCGAAGAGGGTGAGCAGGGCCTGGCATTCGGTCACCATGACCTGGGTGACTTCGTCTGCGTCACGCCGATCCTTCTTTTGCTGGGCGCGGAGCGCTCGTAGTTCCTGTTCGTAGGCTTGCTGGTTCTCGCGCTGGGATTTGTTGTTGAGCTGACTCGCAAACCGGGCATGTTCTTCGGCCTCCTCGGCCATCTGTGCGAGAAGTTCTTCTTCTTCTGGGTCGCTGAAGTCCTCGAACTCCTCAAGGCCGGGGGCGTCTGGGTCAATAGGCGAGCCCTCGTGGGGTGGTGCCAGCCCTTCTGTCCTTATTTGTTGTGCCGGAGGAGGCGTGCCGTCGCCGAAAAGCTCTGCTTCAATGCGAGCCTCTTCAGAAATGAGAGCGGCGCCAACCGGCTCTTGGGCCGTTGGTTCTGGTTCAATAGGTACAATTACATCCTCAAACTCCATTCCATCATCTTCCGATTCATCCATAGTGGGCTCAACCGGTTTGTCCTGGTTCTCTTGGTATTCCGTATCTGAGGGTTCTTTGCTTTTTGCGTTCGTACCTGCGTCAGAGTCGAGAGTTTCGGGATCGACCGGAATTTGGGTCGTCTCTTTGATAACATCGTCCTCTAGGGAAAGGAGGTTAACCGCTGGTTCTTGAATGATGGATTGTTCAACGGGAGGTGGCGCATCTACGATCTCGATATCACTCCCATCATCGCTCGAGGACTCGATTTCGATAACGTCGTCTTGACCAAACCTCAGGTCGTCCTGCTCCTCATTCTCCTCAACCATTTGCATCTCCAACGCCTGCTGCTTCTTGACAGATTCTCGGATATCGGTGTCGTCTGTGAGCCACGGAGGCAGCGGGCGTGGCTTGTTCTCTCCGGCGATGTCCTCGTCCCTGGAGGGCTCTTTTTCAAACCCTCCTGCTTCTTCATCAGAGGCGGCTTCATGATCACCAGTCTCGACTTGTCCCGGTTTCTTATGCTCCTTTGGTTTCTCCGAGGAGGGTGCAAACCTCCCACCAAACGCACTTTGCCAATTGAGCTTTTCGAATGGCAGTGGCCCATCGAATGGGTTCTTTACGTTGGGTTTGGTAGGTGCTGGTGCTGGCGCCGGTGCTTTGGCTGGCTGCACTCTCGGTTTCTTTGCCCTCGCAGCTGCTAGAGCGGCCTGTAGATCGACGTCACTGTCACTGCTTCCGCTATCCCGGCGCCTGGGCACAGCAGCGCTCGCTCGGTTGTTCACAATATGGGCCACCATCCGCCCGCTAGTGCTAACAATGGGCTTCGGCGCCTCGGCTGCCTTCTGTTCCCATTCGGGCGTTGGCGCGCTCTCGGATTCTTCATCTAAATCCTCATTCCCATCGTCGGCGCCCCTTGTGTCGACATTGTGTTGGTTCTGCAGTGACAGCGCAATGGCTCGGTTAAGGTCCTCATCCTCGTCGCTCTGAAGAGCGTCGTCATCTCTAAAGAGGTTGGGTTCGCCGTTTTCGACAAAGAGGGACTCCTCTGCCTCGTTTGCCTTGATCTTGGGTAGTCTATTCAGACCCTCGATCGGAACATCCTCAAAGTCTTCATCTTCCCAATCGTCCTCGTCATTTTGTCCCTGGTACTGAAACTCCAATGCATCCACATCAATGGGCTTGTGGATCTTGCCTCTGTCCTTGTCCCTGCTGACGACGCCCAGTGCCCAGCCTCCTTCGGCCCCTTCATTCTTCACAAGAATGTACTCGCGAGTCCTGTCACCTGCGACACGGTTGGCGGCCAGGGTCAAATCGGTGCCGGTCATGCCCATTTCGTACATTAGGCGTTGCGTCAGGTGGTTTCTCTCTCTGACTCGCTCGATTTGAAATCTCGAAAAGGCCATCCGGTCCGGAAACATGCCATCGAGCTGGTCTTTGCTCAAGCCCATCCTCAGACGGCTACGGATTCTGGCAGCGTTGAGAATATTATAACGGTCAGCGGGCGGAAGACTCTTGAAGAACTCTCCGTCAAAGTCAATCTTGCTAAAGTCGTAAAGGTTGATATCCTCGCCGTCGTTGAACTGCCTTGCGTACTCCTCCAGCTCATCGATGCTCATGATGCGGGGGTCGTTGGGCTTGCCCATGCCTTCGATGCCATTGTCGAGTTCTGGGAGGTGATAAGCATCCTTCTTATGGAACCGTCTGTTCCTCTGGCGTTCCTGCTTTGACATGCCGAGCTCATCCGCGTACACAATCTGATCCATGCTAGGCAGCTGCTCCTGCTCTTCCTCGACCTCCCCGGCCGCAGCATCATTCGCACGTTTCTTGCGGTTCTCTTCTTCCTCCTCGGCCATGCGTTGCATCTGCACGGCAAGCAGCTTCCCTGCTGTCCGTGTTGCATCCTCACGGCGACCCTCGCGCCGTCTCCGGCGACCCTGCAATGTGGCCCGTTTCAGAGCCGGGGCGCCGCCATCAAAAACGAAAACTGGCTTCACGCCGTGCCATAGCAGTTTGCAGATGCGGCGAAAGAAGCCGACGACATGGCTATTCCGCAGGGCATTGCCCTCCTTGTCGCGGACTGCCTTGAGAAACTGGTAGATCCAGATAGAAGCATCGATGGCAAGGCGCTTCTGGTTGAGGGTCGAGAGGTTCGTCGGCCGTGCGCAAGGCTGTGCGACAGTCCAAAGGCCCTGGACACCCATGATTCCCGGGACTCTAAGAAGGGGTCGATGGTGACCTCACGATGACCTCACGATTCGGTGTTGCAGTCCATGCACATTGAGCGTGATAGAGGGGTTCAAGGGACCCTGGTGCCCTCCACTGTGGAACCGTTCATCAGTATTGGAATTCCGCTAACAAAACCCGAGAAGTGATTTTGGCTGGAGGGAGTCAAGCACGTCTCAAGATTTAAAAGTCGATATGGAAAATGAAGACGGCAGATGGAAGATGGGAGTGGGTGACCCATAAGGTAAATAAGTCAAGTTCGATGACTGCATGCCGCCTGGGACCCCTGCTCGGGTGCCTGGCTGGCTGCCCTTTATTGTCTGAATGCCCCGCTACGGCGGGTCAAGTTGACACCACTACCAAAACCCAAATCTTCATCAGCTCACACCACAACAGTATATAGAAACCCCCTCTATTTCTATTTTCGCGCCTCAGAATAATTGAAAGGAATGTGACTGGATGCGTACGATCCACAAAGATCTCTATAGCCATACATAACTTTAAAAATTGGGTCTGGGTTAGACTTTTGCACTACCAATGGGGTATACCTAATGATGATTTGTGGGGTAATTTGCGTTTAAGCAGTGATGTCGACTTGACTCGCCGTACCCCGCAGCAAATCCCAGCACCACCGACTCAGTGCACGGGTGCATCTCGCGCAACTGCATCAACTTCCTGAGCTCGGACATGTGCCTGTTCTCATGATAGCTCTGGGTTCAGAGACCGTACCTCAATGACCGATGAGGGCAATGAAGAGGTATGTGCAAGTGCGGATGGCTTTTGAAAAGACGGCCCGGTACATAGGTACCTACCTGACAACCAAACCCCCACGACGAAGCCGAGCTTACAACTCATAAAAGTTTCCTTTCAATAACCTAAACATTCCATACAACCTAAGTGTAACAAATACACCTAACTCAACAAACATCTTCTATCATCACGAGCACCCCTAAACCTCCAATGTCACCAACTCAAGACCCGCAGGGGGAGGGAGACTCCCGGGCTTTTCTCGAAAGGCTCATAAACAAAAACCTGCGTGTCACCACCACCGACTCCCGCATGTTCTGGGGCACCTTCGTCTGCACCGACCATGTAAGTCAAGCACCCTCCCACCCCATCCCCCACCCCATCCGCTCAAAAAACCAACACAACCCCCAGGAAAGCAATCTCATCCTCAAACACGCCTACGAGTACCGCCACCCCGACCCCAAGAAAGTCGCCGCCCTCGCCCAAGCAACCATCCCCTCACCCTCACTCCCCTCCATGAACCTCAGCGAGGACAACAACAACAACAACCACCCCACCGCCGCGCCCACCCAAACCCAAACCCAAGGGACCAGCAACGGCAGCGCGAGCAACAACAAGGCCAAGCCCAAGGACAAGGTCACGGTGGAGATGACGTCGCGGTACCTGGGCCTGGTGGTGGTCCCGGGGAAGTATGTGGTCAAGATTGAGGAGGAGGAGTTTGCGAGCCAGGTGCGCGGGCGGAAGGTGGCGGATGCGGCGGCGGCGGCGATGGGGGCGGGGGCAGCGGGGGAGGGGGAGGGGGGGAGGCATGTGCATGTTGGGACTGTGTGTGGGGTTGGGGGGAGGTGAGGTGAGTGATGAGGTATGAAATATAGGATACGTAGGAGAGGTGGGCCGGTCACATTGCCTGAGCTACCTAGGTTGGGAGGTGGGTAGGAGCCCTGCTTGGTTTGGTAATAGCTAGAATGGGCCTTTCTCCCACGGAGAAGTAATTAAATAATATAAACACAATGAAAGAAAGGTGCTGCTAGATCAAGCCAATACGGTTTCTTTATCTTTTCGGGTGGCTTTCGTTCCATCCTTGCAGTCGGGGCGTGGCTGGTATCACAACATGATGCATACGCCCGCTCCACCCTCGTACACGGCAAGAAGCGCCAACACAGTCTAGGCGCTTGCATCAGATCGCATGCCGAGTCAAAGGTTCTTCGTGGTTGTCACACCTAGGTAAACCGAATGCTGGCTCCAGAACCACGCTACCGACCAAGACCAAGCCTCTCTTGTACTCCCTAGATCTTGCCTCCTGTATATCATCGAACCATCCATTGCCCGTTATTCATTACCTATTACGCGTAAACGGTCCAGTTCCTCACGGACGGGCTTGTCTCTCGCAATAAATCCAGCCTGCCAACCTCCTAGAAATGAACTATCCGCCCCCACATTTCCCCCCCAAACCCCATCATCAGTCACCCCACCACTCCATCGCCGTGCCCTAGCCCGAGAAGATCCAATCCTAGTAAAAAGCCCAACGCCCCAGTCCAGTACCGCAAGCCGGCCAACACCCGTCATTGCGCATGCTAAGCCATGACCGGGTCGTGGTTCCGCCCGCGGTGCTCGCCGTTCAAGCTCGCCTCGGTGTCGACGGCGGAATGGCTGGGCGCGTCCAGGTCGTCCTCCTCACCGTCATCGTCCTCGTCCTCCACATACTCGTGCTGGCCCGCGGGCACCCACGAGTCCCGGTCGTTGAGCGGGGCGTCCTGCGCCGACAGGTCGTGGCCCTGCAGCTGCTGCAGCCCCTCGGTGCGGGCCTTGATGTTGTTGCGGCGGCGCTGGGACAGCGTGCGCGCCCGCGTCGAGAGCTTGGACGACACGGCCGCGTTCTGCGTGATCCAGTTGGTGAGCGAGTCCTCGCAGTCCTGGATGATGGCCTTGCTGGCCTCGTAGCCGTCGTAGGCGGGGCGTGTCTCGCCCGGCGTCACGGGGGTGTCGTCGATCAGTTCCAGCAGGTGCTTGCCGTACCCGGCGATGATGGCCACCTTCTCCGAGTGCTCGCGTAGGGCGTCGAATTGGTACGCGTATGCCGCCTTGACTTTCTCGCGTGTGATGTTGGATAGCTGCGCCTCGGCGACCAGGGACTCGGCTTCGGCGCGGACTAGTTCCTGTTCGAGGACGACAATTTTCGGGGAGTTGGGCTCCTTGTATTTTAGCTGGGCGATTTGGTCTGTGATCTTTTGTTTCCCTGGTCGTACGTCAGCTTCCCGGGTCCTCGCTCGGCTCTCTATCCAGCACTTACTATCCCGACTCGGCTGTACCGACGCCTCGATATTCCTGATGCTCTTCATGGTGACGCGGTACTGGTCGTATCGGTCGACGTATTGGTCTTCGAGCTCGCCTATTTCATATAGCAGCACGCCGAGTTTGTCTGTAATATCCGAAACATCCTCGTCACCGGATTCACCCCAAATCGAAAGTTGGTGCTGCAGCAGGTATTAGCGAGCTGTCGATGCAGCAAATATGGCCGGGGTGTCACATACGGCGACCTCCATCCGCTCCTTGGCCACCAATTCCAAACTCCGCATGACGTTCTTCTCCATCTTAACGAGTTGTGACAACTTCTTGGCGAGATCAGGCCCGAAGGCCCCGGCAGCGTTCCGGCGGAGGGCATGTCCTGGGGCCACTTGGTTTAACATCCAACCATCGATACTTTCTCCCAAGCACAACTCATCCCAAACCTCCCCGGCCAAAGAGGGCGGCCAGACTTTGTAGTGGACGGTGGTGGCGGCGGGTTCTGTGTACACTTCCCGGTCAGCGAGATCGGTTCGTCAATCGCACATATTAGAGAACATTTCCTACCTCGAATTTGGGAGAGCGGTCGGAGCGCGCGTGGCGCGCATGGAGTATGTGCGATGCATGGCGATTGCGCAAGGGGGTTGTGGCTTGGGAGGCGGGTCGTGGTTTGGTGTTGTGCGACGTTGCTGGGCGGCCGAGTGGTTCAATTGCGTTGACTCGATGGAGAGGTCGGAGGAGCAGCAGGTGGCATGCAAGCTTTTTCAGTGCTCCCAGTCTGTCTGACGTTTTCGAAACAAAGGACGAGCGTGGGTGGGTGTTGCGACGGGAGCAGGCATCAAATGAGACGGATCAGGCGGTAACTGGGTTAACTGGGTTGTTTGATGCAACGCTAGTTAAATGACGTCGCCGTGCAACCACGCCTGTCTCATGGTGGGCTGTGCAGCTCTGTGGGGGAGAAGAATGCGAGAGAGACATGATAGGTCCAAACAAGTGTGTCGAGTGGGTTGTACCTTGATGAGTTTGAAAAGATCCCAGGCCGGTTCCTGGCTTGTGGCATTGATACTCGAAAATGCGTATTTTCGATTGCTGTTGAATATCTAGTTGAGAGCCATTTAATAGTTTGTGTGTTTGCAAGTCTTGCTTTCTTCTTTCTTTTTGGTTGTTGGCTGTCCGGTATTCCTAAGGCAGTTATTGAATTACATGGATGGGTATGGACATCGCATCTCGCACGTTTACACCCCTGAAAATCGGCATGATCCATGGGCAAAAAAACCCGAACTCAAATTGTAGGTGCCTGACGAGACCTTTGGCCAGAGGAACGAAAAAAGTATTCGGGAGCCCAAAGTCTAATTTTTATTTATTTATTGTCTAATTCGGTTGCTCTTATTTGATTTTTTTTGCACAGTTTTCTTCACCTTTTCCTGCATGTGTCGCTTCCCTTTCGAGCTGGTTTTTTTTGGCAAGAGAGTGGGCTGTTCCATATGGCCCGTGCGCTGATTACCATCCGCTTGTGCAGCCAAGAAAGCGCGTCCCTTCAACACCGCGTCTTGGTTGCAATTGAGGGTCACGGCGATCTGAGCGAACCCGAAATCCCGACCGCCTGCTCTTCAACCATAAGCTGCAAGTCGCCAGCTGTCGACTTGACATTGCCTAATAACACAACGGCACTTGAAGCCATGCGCGAAACTATCTGCCGGTGAGGCATAACCATCAAACAATTCCGACCCAGCGTTGCCCGTTTATCGAACCCGTGCGGATCCTCTATCGACGCCGAAGGAAAATAAAAAAGGAGTAGAGTTGGCCAGGAAATCGGTTGCATGTCGGGTTCGGAAAATACATACAAGGATAGGGAATAACAGGATATGCGAAAGAATCATGGCTTCTGTTCTCGCCGACGTGGTCGATTTGACCATGGAGACGTCGTCATCCGAGAGCGGTTTGACTGCCGACGAAGTCGTGGTCGTGGCCAGCCGCCAAGTCTCGATGAGTTTTAAAGATGACGAGCATGTTCAAGCATCGCAATCGTTTTTATCGCCATCGAAGCCGCAGTTGCGCAACGGGCCATTGGCTGTGAGGCCGGACAAGACACGGAGCCCCTTGTCATCGGTCCCATCGAAGAGACGAACCCCCGATGCGTCACCTGTTCGCAGGTCCGCACGAGCCAGCGATGACACTCCGCCACGGGCCACCCGCTTTTCTATCCGCGATGAAGTCCGCGACTCGCAATCTCCTCCGCCCAGCATCAAGCCCAGCGCCACCCACCAACAACCTCCTACCCCGCAACCCTCGACCCGGCCGTCCCGAGGCCAACAGACGCCCAACATGCAGACGCCAAAGAGGGCGGTTTGGACAGTTGAAAAAATAACGAACGCCCTGACTGAGCTTTCGGAGCAAGTCGGCCAAGGGCATGCGCGCCTCGTCGATTATGTTCTCGAAGAAGCCGAGAAAAAGGCTCGCGAGCCCAGCCATTTTAGCAAGGTCGATCATTTTGCCAGCATGCAATCAATAGCGTTCGATAGCGCTGCTTCGCCACCTCCGAAGATAGAGACCATGGGTGTCAAGTTCAAGGTGGGTGGCCCACCCGAGCCGCAAGGCGCGAGGCCGTTGAGAATGCTAACCGTCCCGTAGCAACACAGTGGAGAGTATGGCAAGTCAAGGGGCAGCGGGCGCCGCGCTGTAGTCCCCGTCCTCTGTATCAAACCCGACAAGGAACCCGTCCCGGGGTACCGGTTCCACCACGTGGAAATCCGCAAGAACATCCTCGCACCAAACTCGATGCTGAACTTCGTCCCTCATCTTCGCGACGTCGACCCGAATTCGGAGGAGGAACAAAAGTATAGCAATTGGCTCAGGGACCTCGAGAGTCTCGACAACCAGTCCGGGTTCCAGCCTCAGAACCGGGCGCAGAAGCTAGCGAAGAGGGCACAGAATGAATACGCAGCGACCCTTGCCCCGTATCTCGATCCATGGGGCTCCGCAAGCTGGCCATCGATGGCTGCACAAAATCCACCCTCATCCGCTACATGGCAAACCAGTCTCAAAACGAAGACGCCATCACCCCACAGCAGAAATCAAACTTGCTCGACTCACACAGCGAGGGCATCGGCTCACCCCACGCGGCGCGGGCAGCGAAGCTTTTTACCGAGGCTTTTGACCGCGTCTTCAATGATAAGAAGAGCTACAGGCGTGTCGCCCTGCGCGACATTTTAATGCTGGACAAGTCTGTGGAGCCCATCTTGGACAACAAGAGGGCAAAGGACGGACCAAGCTCGCAGAAGCTCGAGGACGAGGACTTGATGTCCAAGATCGGGGAGTCATTGGGGAGTTACTCTATTCTTGGTTGCCTCATCTGCTTCAGTCACGACTGTGAGCATGGCGAAATCGAGCGAGATAATCAGAAGCGGTGCTTCTCGCTTGAGGAAATCGGAGGGCTCGCCCCTACCCTCAGGAATAAGTGGGCAGCGCAACTCGAGGCCCAGAAAACTGGCCAGACCAACGGCGTAGCCCAGAGGCCGACGCATCAACCATGCAGGAACCAGTGCTACCGAAGCTACAACACCGGCGACCCAGACCAGGACGTCGAGCCTTGGTCCGCGGATGATGTGAGCGTGCTCGAAGGGATCTTCGCGGCCATTGGCTATAGCACGACGCTGAAAGCCGAGTGCTTCGTTGGCGCTGTGCTCGGGCGCTACTGCTGGGATGTTCACCGCAAGCTCCTGGAGCTAAACCTGACTCTACCTCCCGTCGAGCCGCGTGCTGAGTCACTCAAACCCAAGGCGATACCATGGTACGATCGTAAGAAGAAGCAGTTATTGGGCGACTGGCAGGATGCCACCATCACCCACGAGCACGCTGTGCGCGAACTATTCGCGCCATGCCACCACGACGGGCCCTGTACCGCAGCGAACGGCTGCCCTTGCGCGTCGGCAGGCTCCCACCCGGTACTATGTGAGCGGTTCTGCCTCTGCACTGCGGAGGAGTGCTCCCTGAAGTTCACCGGGTGTGCCTGCCACTCGTCTGGCAAGACTTGTCTCCAGCGGCAAAAAGAAGGGAAGCCTTGCATCTGTATACAGCTCAACCGCGAGTGCGACCCTATGCTCTGTAAAGGCTGCGGCGCCAGGGAGAGGGCCGACCCGGAGAATGCATACGACGACCAGCTTCACTCTACGGGATGCCAAAACGTCGCCATGCAACGTGGGGCGCCAAAGGCGGTCCTGCTTGGCAAATCCCAGCTCGAAGCATGCGGCTATGGCCTCTTTGCGGCCGAGGACATTGCTCAAGACGAGTTCGTCATTGAGTACACCGGCGAGCTTATTAGCCACGATGAGGGCGTACGTCGCGAACATCGTCGGGGCGACGTCTTTGACGAAGATAACAAGGTTTCATACCTGTTTACTTTGCTCGAACAAGAAGGTATCTGGGTTGATGCTGCCATGTATGGCAACCTCAGCCGTTACATAAACCATGCCTCGGGCAATTGCAACATTATGCCCAGGATCATGTACGTCAATCATGAGTTCCGGATCAAATTCCTGGCCATCCGAGACATCAAAGCAGGCGAAGAGCTGTTCTTCAACTACGGAGACAATTTCCCCAACCTCACAAAGAAACTTGTTGAGCGCAGCAACGAGAAAGCCGGCGAAAGCGGCGATAAAGCCGCCACACAAAAGCGTAAGAACAACGCCCAGCGTCCCACCGCACGCAAGACAACATCCAAGGCGAATGGCGAGGGTATCGGTTTCGCCCCTGACGCACGCAGCGATGAAGAGGATCCATGGTTCGGAGATTTACCCGTGGTAGAGGACGACGACGTAGGCGACGACTGGTCCGACCATGGTCGCAAGCGACGCAAGAAGCGGGGTGGCAGGCGACCGGGAGCTGGCCGAAAGAAGAAGCAGACGCAGCCGCCTACCGCAGCGGAAGCCGGCGACGACGTCAGCCCAGGCTCGCAGCTTCGCACCGAAAGCAACAACATCAAAGGCGAGAGCACTCAGCCCACCACGCCAACCCGGCGCCGGGTCTTGAAACGCTCCTATTCGGCCATGCTCAACCCACTCCAGAGTCTCTCGGGGTCCGACGCCGGGTCTGCGGTCGCCGCAGAACCCGTCAAGAAAGTGTCCAAGCGCGGTGGCGCCCGTCCGGGCGCTGGCCGCAAGCCGAAACATCGCCCGTCGGGCGCACACAAATCAGGTCACAAGGCGTCTGCCCACGCGAGCCAGAGCAGCTTCAGCAGCCTCAACAATGACACGGACAAGTCTACTCCTAAGAGGGACCAGGCTACCGAGTCAACACCGAAGAAGGCTGAGAAGAGCGCCCTGACTACGCCGAAGAACGACTCCCGTAGCAAGGCCCCCGGCTCGGGGGCGGGCCGGAGGCGCAGAGGGGCCGACACCGAAGCCGAAGACGCGAACGGCAGCGGCAACGTCGCAGATACACCAGGCTTGTACAGTCAGAATATGTTCCGGCCGATGAGTGACACGGGCTCGGTAGCCGGGAGCAGGGGGAGCAGAGGGAGCCTGCGCGGCAGTCAAAGGGACACTGGTGACGACGACGACGACGACGACGATGTGGTGGATAGGTCGGCTAGGAAGAGACAAAAGCCACTGCGGTATAGGGACGAAAAGGAGTAGGCCTTCTAATCATCCTTCCGGGCGGCGGATGCCATGGGCTTTTCGGTTCTTGGCGAAGGTGCTTTGGTGTTGTTCGGTTGCTCGGTTTCATCGGTTGCTTGTATGTACATACAGTTATTTAGCGGGCGTGGGGTAGGTAGGCAAGTTTTCTCGAATAACAAGGTAGATGGTAAAAAGTGTATCTACTGCTGCCGTTTATCTCCATCCCTGTCTGGTCCTCCTACCTACCTACCCTACTATGCCATCTTTCGAGACATCCCATACCTCTATCCCAACGCCGCCAATCATTAGCTTTCCGGGAGCGATGAGCTCCAAATCTCCCGCATCCGCCACCGAGCTATACCGGTTGTCCAGCATGGTAACCCGAATCCCTTTAGTGGCACTCCTTTCCGTCCTCCACATCTTGACCCTCTGGTCGTTGCTGACCGTGGCCACTTCCATCACCCCAGCCTCCGTCTTGACCACGGAAAGCCCGGTCACTGCCGCCGCATGCGCATCCTTGACTCTATACCTCCCGACCACAACATACCCCCCCTTATTCCCATCCCACGCAAGATCCAAGAACCCAAGCGCGTTATCATCCCCGCCCGTCACCACCAACCACCGGCCCTCCCCCTGCACCGCCAGATCCAAGCTCTTGACACTGCTCTGATGCAGCCGCACCACCAACACCATCTCCAACTCGCCCTCCCCACCGCGCGTCGCCCTCCATCTCCACACCGCCACGTGCCCGTCCGTAAACGCCGTCAGCACATGCACCTCCCCCGCGCCGCCCCCGCCATCCACCTTCAGATACCGCACCTGCGTCGGACACGCCCCCGTGTACCGCCCCGTAGCCAGCAGCACAAACCTCCCAGTATCACCACCACCGCCGCCGCCGGAGCCGGAGCCGCCGCCGGAGCCGGAGCCGCCGCCGTCGCCCGCCTCCGAGCAAGCAGGCGAGTACACATACGCCCGCACGCTCGAATCCGACAGCGCCATCGTCACTAACATCTTCCCCCCATTAGCATCGTCGCCGGCAGCATCCCAGCCCGCGACGTCAAAATCCATGATCCGCAGATCCTTGTCTCTGCTGCTGCCGCTATTGTTCCCGTCATCGTCAGACGCAGTGGCACGTCCGCCGCCGCCATCCGACCACGACGCCTCGCGCACGACGGCGAGCGCATCATAGGTGGTGGAAGCGAGGTGTGAGAGGCGCCAGACGAAGAGCTCTTCGCTGCCGGCGCTGCTGAGGAGGTAGGTTGTTGCGTTTGCGTTTGCCTTGGAGGTGGTGGTGGTGGGGGGGTTGGGGTTAAAGAAGCGGAGGGATTGGATGCCCGCGGAGTGGCCTTGGATTATGGCGAGGCAGGTCATTTCGCTGGTGGTGGAGGTGGGCGTGGTGGTTGTTGGTGTTAAGGAGGGTTGGTGGCGCCAGATGCGGATGGAGGTGTCTTCTGCGGCGGTGGCTACTAGGTTGTTGGCTGGCTCGGTTGGTTGGTTGTGAGGAGCGCCGGAGGAGAGGGGAGTAGAAGGTGAAGGGAGGAGGGTAGCGGATACGCTCTTGATCTCCCTCCCGTGCCCGCCGGCCCGTAACACCCGTTCGGATTCGGCGCTCTGTGAGACGACGTGCAGTGTTCCGGCCTTGGAGAAAACGAAGCGCATCTGGCCCGGGTCGTGGGGACATAGGATGGTTGTGAAAGGCCGGTGAGCGCCGCCGCATGGGATGCTAGAGAGGATTGTGCGGGTTGAGTCGTTGTATGTGAGGAAATTTGGGCCGTAGAATCCTTGGAGAATCAACTCTGACTTTGGCTTCGGTGGCGAGGAGCCGTTAGAGTGTGATGGGGGTGGGATGGTGAAAAAGGCCGCCTCGAGAACGTTGAGTGGCGGGGAGATTTCGTGCTGAAGGTTCAAGCCCGGAAGGGACGGTGAGATGGCGAGGGTGTAGATACGGTATTTTCCATCGCGGCATGTGGCTAAGAAGGAAGATTGTTTAGAGGAGGTTCCTGGAATGGGAACAATGCAAGTGATGCCGTCTTTTGTTTTACAGTCTTTCCGGGAAGTCAGGGGCATGAAGTCGCCTGTATCAGGGTCGGTATCGTAGACCGTCAAAGAACCGGTGCGGGAACCGAGAATGAGGGTACCATCGCAGAAGGTCGCTGCAGTGACGATGTAGTGTTCTACAAGTCGGATTTTGCGGCTATCCATGGTGGAGGTGTTGGTGGATGGGTCGAAGTGTAGGAGAACGGCGTGGTCGGAACCTAGGATGTTGATGAGAACAGACCAGGGTAGCTTGTTGGCAGCACGGTTGGGAGTGTCCAGAAGGGATGATATCTGATATCTTTTCTGGGAGGCTGGCTATTTCCTGAACTTCTCCTTGTCGGTACAAGTAAACCTTGCCGCTTGCGCTGCCGATGACAGCCGTGTCCCTTGCCGGACTTTTGACGACATTGTAGGGTTTGAGATCAGCAATGATAGCTTCAGGGACGGCGACTTCTTCCCAGACGAGAGGGCTTCCCATAATCGCGAGAAACAACCTGCCGGAGGCTGTGACTGCCATGGTTGTTTCCGACAGAAAGGCGTACCGTTGGAAGGTGTACTTGGCGTTCTTTGCGGTCTGGGTTTCAAGTACTGGCTGTGCGCTGCCTCGTAGATTTCGCAGTACCTCGTCGAAGCTGAAGCTGAGGTCCAGGTCTTCGTATGTGCCGAGACCTGAAGCGACTCCCCTAATCTTCCCCGCGATGACAATCTTGCCATCAGCTCCACCAGTCGCCGCCAGGGGCTCATCATCTTCCCTACGCAACAAGGCAGCAGACCAGATATTTTTCCCGCTGTGACACGTACTCGAGCCGCAATGCCGGAGTGTCCCTGTCTTCCCTCCAGCCCCCGACCTAAGCGCAGCCCACCGCTCCAGATCCAAGTCCAGCTCCCACTTCTGCCGCGAGCAGTCCTCCCCAAACGAATAAACCTCCACAACCCCAGAGGCCAACGACCCCCTCCCAAACCCGACTTGCCAAATCCTCGACACATGCCCCATCGCCACAGCCACACACCTGGCCGAATCCCGCTCATTCCCCCTCTTCACCTCCGAATTCCCCCCCTCCCCACCAAACCCAGTCTCCCTCGCCCCATCCAACCCCCCCACCACCACCGCCCCAGAACGGGATGGGAAGGAAATAATGGGGGGAACGCCCAGCGATATGGCTGCGGGCCCACGAGCAAAGCCGTACGGGCCGCCCCTGGTGTGCCGAGTAGGGCAGCTACCTCCCAGCTGGGATCCTGACGGGGGTCAAGTCAGGGGCGCCCAGAGACCTCGCGGATGAGAAGCCGGCTTCTAAGACTGTGGGAACCAACA